TGAGGTATGGTTTACAAAGAATTTATGTGAGTTTTTTGGTTTTTATTTGTGTCCTGTTAAATATTTTTATATATATTTAGTTAGCTGAAGAGGGGCTGATGCCCGAAACGTTGATGTATGGAAAAAACGTTCTAACTAAATAAAAGATTCAACTAGCCCAGTGTTGAGAAAAACGTCACTTCATTGTGCCAGTACACAACAAGCAATATATAGGCTAAATATAAATTATAAGATTTCTGTCCAAACCCAAATGATCTGCCGAATTATCAGGTTATAATTTAATAACTCATTTGGCATTACTTAAAAATCGGCATTGTGGATTGTTTACCTATCCATCTTGTATACTAAAGGACAACCAAAATATATCGGTTATTTATGTAAATTATAAAATAATCTCTCATAATATTTAATTAAATATTATATTTAATCTTTTAATCAAAATTGTTATTAATTAAACTGTTTTAATGACATATTTAGAACTAGGGGATTTGATCAAGCAGACTCGTCCTTTCTTGAATAACATTAGTAAAGCTAAAGCTGCTAAACTGGTTAGAGCTTTAGTTGATTTGTTTCTTGACATGGAAGCAGCAACTGGTGAAGAGGTAATGATAAAAGATTATTTTATTTGGTTGATTGAATTTTTCTTCCAGAATATTCTAAGTTATTAATTTTAATTACAATATTTATGTAATTATTGTTAGTGTTAGTATAAGATAGTGCCTAACTTCCTACCTTTAAATCAAATTACATAGTTTAATCACTTAAACTTGATTTTTTTTCTAGGTCCAATTATGTAAAGAATGCATAAATTGGGCTAAAAATGAGAAAAGAACTTTTCTGCGACAGTCTTTAGAGGTAGTTTTCTTTTTCCTTACGTTAAACAGTGCAAACTTGTTGTTTATTTAAATTCATCTCTTATATTTCAGGCAAGATTAATAGCTCTTTATTATGATACCAGTGAATATAATGAAGCTCTTCAACTTGGTAAGTTTCTTTTCTCACAATTAATCTTGAATTATATAATTCAATCACAAAAAAAAGTCAGAGCTTAAATGCTATTGTTGTTTGATAAATTGTTATAAAATGGAGCACCATTTTACATTTATACTTCTCCATCTTTTACAGAATTTCATTTATACACTATTTCTATTCTGATGAAGATTATAGATAATATAAAATGTTTTCTGTATTTTGTTATATCCATGCAATCTTCTCTTCATATTCTGAGAATTAAACAGTATAAAATTGTTTCCACATATACATTTTCTCTCTGCAAAGGTGGATTAGCAATATATTATTTGCTAATAGGTTTAAAGTGATCAAAATAACAGGGAAGTCTACACATTTGTAGTAGCCATTAACAGGAACAAAGTTCATAAACAGTGTTATCTTGAAAAAGATTATAAATATTCAAATAAAACCTTATATAAAATTTTTTTGTATATTATGATTATTATTACAAGGTGCTTCTGAAAAGTTTGGTGAATGGTCCCATAGTTGAATAATCGTGCTGGTTAGGATGTTGTGCTCACACAGACATAGTGAGAGACTTGCCAACTAGTGCCCCTAGCATCGAAATCACGACAGTTAAACAGAAGTGCATGCAACAAACGATGNTCTGAAAAGTTTGGTGAATGGTCCCATAGTTGAATAATCGTGCTGGTTAGGATGTTGTGCTCACACAGACATAGTGAGAGACTTGCCAACTAGTGCCCCTAGCATCGAAATCACGACAGTTAAACAGAAGTGCATGCAACAAACGATGCAATGCAGTCAGTGTGAGAAGGAGTGTCACTGTGAAGTGGAGAACGCATGAACATCAAGTTTTGCTTCAAATTAGGCAAAACAGTGACGGAGACACATGAAATGTTAGTGAAAGTATATGGTGTGGAAGTAATGAGTAAAAAATGTGTTTTTGAATGGTTTTTAAATGCTCCAGAGATGGAAACGAAGATTTCGACGATGAGCCGCGTTCTGGTTGATCGTCAACAAGCACAATTCCAGACAACATCAAACAAGTGCAATGGATGCTTTTGGATGATCGGCGCCTGTCTTTGAGAATGATGGCAGAAGATTTGAAGATAAGCAAGGACAGTGAGAGTACCATTGTTTACAAATATTTGCAAAAGCATAAGATTTGTGCCTGGTTTGTACTGCACACGCTGTCAGTCGAGGAAAAGTAACACTGGATGGAAACCTCTGGAGATTTCATTGATGCATATGACCAGAATCCGCAGTTCTTGGAAACAATCATAACAGGGGATGAGTCGTGGTGCTACCAGTACGATCCAGAGATCAAGCGACAGTCCGTGGAATGGTGTTCGTGGTCGTCCCCCTCCCAAAAAATGTCGTCTCACCAAATCCAGGATTAAGACGATGTTGATTGCCTTTTTTGACGGTAAGGACTTGATCCATCATGAATTTTTACCCGACGATACAACCATCAATGCAGAATTCTACAAGGGAGTTTTGAAACGGCTGCTGAAACACATCTGGCGACTTTGGTCTCGGTTGTACCAGAGTGGACAGTGGACTCTGCTCCATGATAACGCCCGTCCGCACACTGCGGGCCACGTACGCACTTCCTTGCTACACACCAGGTCACAGTTCTTCAACACACTCCATATTCTCCAGATCTGGCATCTGCAGATTTCTTCTTGTTTAGCTTCTTGATAACAAGCACTGAGCTCAGCATTAACACAATTTTCTTATCTCACAAGTACTTTCGACGAATATATCATCATTATCCTCAGGTGAAAAAGAACAAATTTGAAGAAGTAGAACATGCAGAGTGTTCCAAGTAGAAAATGGAAAATTTTCTTGGCAATTTTTAAATTATAACATTCGGTAATTTCATTGGTAACATGCAACAAACTTTTGCGGGCATTCGAAAGTTCATAAATCCACACGACTGGCAATGCATGCATTGAGGAGCGATCATACTAATTGTGCTACTCTTGATGCATTTTGTTGTTTGAATGCTGGTATAAAGTAACCCATATTTCGGACAAGTCAAGGGTGGGGACATTGCATGTGTCTGTGGTCATTGTGAGGAGCGCTTCCCAAATAAATGTAATCCTTCTGTTATTACAGCACTTGAGCAATGCTGTTTTTGACCATAATGGGTTATAGCCCTGCTGTAGAACTTTTCTGGCGAGCTCTGTAGTCTGTCTTCCTTTGTTTATATCCTCCTGATGTTCTGCGATACGGCAAGTGAGCATTCTTGTCATTGCCCCTATATATCTCTGTTATCCCCATTATTGGATTTTCTAGTTACACTGCGTATACTCCCAATTTTTCTAAAACGTCGACTTTATCTCGATCATTGCATACACTCCTGCGTAGGCTGAGTAGGGGGGTTAAAGAAAGGGTAAAGCTGTATCGCAGGAAAATACGGCTAATAAGTATGAACGGTGCTTCTAGGTACGGCAATGCTGATTGTACTCTAGACATTTCTTTTTTGCTGTATAGTGTAGTAAATGGGAAAAGGGAATCTTTTACCCTATGTAGTACTGTACATGCTTAAGTTTGGCGCCTGTGAATCCAGTGTGATGTACTGCCGTTCTTACGATTTCCAATTTGACTTTTATTAGAGCTTGCGATGAGGGAAGTAACATCGCTCTTCTGACAAGAGCCACTATGGCAACATTGACATATCACGATGGTTGAAAGGCATCAGCTGGAATGATATAGGGCAATGGTTCCCAATTAGTGGTACACGTACCCCTGGGGGTACACGAAATTGCATGAAGGGGTACGCACAGCAATCTAAAATTGGTCAACTTAAAATTTAAATGCACGAGATGAAGCAATAAAAAAAATAATAGGTAGATAATCAAAAATTCGGCAATTTACAACATGATGTTGAATGCACAAATTTGTTTACAGTAATACCCCGAACTTACGCGATAGGTGGGACCGAGCGATAACTGCGTAAGTCGGAGTATATTTTCGCAATTTGTGTAAAATCCAAATCTGATGTATGTAAGCTAATAAATGTTCTCGTTAACCTTATCTCGCCTTTTGATTTGTTCACAGTTACAAGAAATCACCACATAGAGTTTCTCAAGTATCCGTAGATATAACAAACACAGAAATAAATAACACACAATAAATTGTAGCTATGTGTCGATTCTGCGCGGCACGTCCGAAGATGTAAGCGAAACAATAGTGTGGGGGGGAGTGAGTAATCAAGAGTTGCGTGGCGTTCAAACAAAAGACGAATCGACGAGATTTGAAAATCGCGTAACTCCGGGTTCGCGTAAGTCGAGGTATTACTGTATTTATAACTAAAAACATTCTCGAAATTTCATCAAAAACGTGCATTTGCGACAATACCTAAATGAAATTCTTACGCAAGAAACAAAAATTGTACAATTAACACAATTTGTTTTCACAAAATTAATTTTGAAAATTTTTGTCGCTGTTGCAAATAACTCCACCGACCACCTTCCCATCTCTGACCAAGAGGAATTAATAGACATTTTATGCAACAGCAGACTTAAGAGTTGTTGTGTAGAGCAATCACTGGGTAATTTTTGGGCTGACCTAAAAGACATTTATCATGTCAGCGAAGCGGCAATAAAGTATTTACTACCATTTTGCACAACATACTTCTGCGAGAGCAGATTTTTGGCCATGATAAACATGAAAACTAAACATCATCACCGACTTCAACTCGAAGATGACTTGAGACTGAAGCTGACAAAAGCAACCAGATTTTACAAAGTTGTGCAAAGAAAATCATGCACATTTGTCACATTAAAATTAAATAAACTTATGTTATTTTCATTATTATTAGAATTGTATTTTAAAGGTAATAAATGTAAAAAAAATTTATTCTATTTATCACTAGCTGTCTACCCATAGCTTCGCCTGCATTATATCAAATTTTCTCGTGAGAGTAAGATATTTTCTCACAGTAAAATGTTGCCTATGTCTATCTCCAACATGTAAGCTACCTCTGTGCCAAATTTTATTAAAACCTGTTCAGCAGTTTAGACGTGAAAAGGCAACAGACAGAGCAAATTACCTTTGAATTTATAATATTAGTATAGATTAATATGAATTTCTGCTATAAGGGGTATGCGAGTCTGAGCTCTTTCTTGAAGTGGTACGCAGGAAAAACTAATTGGGAACCACTGATATAGGGGATCATGTTGGACTTATGATGCACTGTAAACTGCGGCTCTTTTAGTCACTTCTGTCACTGTCTTTAGTCTTTTAATCACTTCTGAAATTGATGGTGGAATTGATGCTTGAAAGTTGCTGCATAAACTTGATAAACTCCTCTTCTGAATTTTCCCATATTAGTAGGATGTCATCTACATAGCGTAAGTATAGTGATAGTTAGCATATAGCAAGTGGGGTGTTAGTTTTTTGTTCCACATCTCTTATAATGAGCTTGGCTAATACTGCGGAGAGAGGAGAGCCCATGGGAACTCCATGCATCTGTAAGTAGACTTTCTGGTTTAAGCGGAAATAGTTGTTTTCAGTGATGAAGATCATCACTTCATGAATGTCTAGCACCTGTTGAACCATAAAACCTTTTCTGAGGAGCATGGCATTGGCTAGCATTACGGCTTCAAATGTAGGAACGGATGGGTATAGGGATATCACGACCATTTTGTAGAATATGCTGGTATTGCCATGTGCTTTTGCCATGTTGGAACTAATGATGGTTTTGACATCTATAGAGGAAAGAGTGACATGCAGTATTCCAGAAGTAGCTTTTGTAGGAACTTTGCAAGTGCTTTTTCCAGGTGGTAAGTAGAATGCGACCTTTTGTTTACTAATGGTCGTAATGGCCTGTTCTCTTTATGCATTTTTGGCTGAAAAAATAGCCTAGGGCAGGCAACATTGAAAGGAGGATCGAGGCGTCCTGGTAGTGCTATGATTTTCTTTGCTCTTTGCAGTACTTCTGGTGTTGGGTTGATGTTTATCTCCACAGAATATGATTGTAACAGAAAATCATTGGCTCTAGTGATGAAGTCATTCTCTCTGCACAAAACAAATCTTTTGTCCTTGTCTGATACTAAGAACCTCAGATCGTTCTTGGCAAGGAATTTCGTTACTGCCTGGTGGTTTTTGCGCCTATTTGGTGCATCAGAGATTTGCTTTGTCAAGCAAGTTTCGTGATGACTTCTAACTCCATTTGCTGGTACATGGGTGCAGTCTGGCAGGATTTTAAAGCTGCTAAGGTGGCTGGGATTAACTGGTCGAAATCGGAGCTTGTAGGAGGTGAGATATACTTGGGACTCTGTTGCAGTGTGTTATGCACAATTATGGGCACATTCTCTTTTGTATAGTTATAATATGGAGTGGTTACTGCTTCCGTTTTTTGTGCACGTGATGAATTGTGTAGCCACTGGAGCTTTTTGTTTAACTACTTTTTAACTTTCTGCATGGAGATTGATGTTATACTTTACACTTTGCCTAGTTGAACATACAACGTGGAGGGGTCACATGCCTTAGAAAAATACATGCCAATGAGCTACATAGGTTTTTTGCTCTGCTTCTTGTTTCCCCGCCTCAAAGGAGTCCTGAAAGGCCTACACTTTTTCGACATTGCGCAGATCCAACAATGTGTGACAACGGTGCTTTGTGCGATACCGAAAGAAGCGTTTGATCTCAGCTTCCAGCAGCTGTACAACCGATGTCAAATGTGTGTTGTCGCTAATGGCGATTACTTTGAATGCCAGTAAAGGTATTTTGTTTGTATCTCTTGTTTCCTTTATTTTATGAGACCATTTACTGAACTTTTCAGACACACCTTGTATTATTATTATATTTATAAGATTGTTTATTTGTAATTTTTAAATTTGAAACAATTCTTATTTATTTTATGTTGGATGAAGATAACCTAAGTGAAGGTCGAAAATATTTCTGACTTAAATATTTTTTGGAAACCAGAACTTTAACAGTTTATTATTAATATGTTGGATAAAGCTACACTATATGTATTGATCTATTTTTTAAATTTTTATAGTGCATTTAGAGAACTTAACAAATAATTGTATTTTAGTTTATTCCACATTAGTGATAAACATGTTGGTAAGAACTGAACCTTCTTTTACAATAAATTACTAATTTAGGTCTTACAAATATTTGAAATATTCTTTCTAAGCAAACAGTTGTTTGTTATATTAATTATACAATTACTCAAAACAAGTTAGTTTGATTTTTTTTGTTAGTTAGTTAGTTTTTTATGCACCAAGAGCTATTTAAAAGACAGAAAAAACCTCCACTAAATACAATTTTTACCTTTTTATAGAAAATATAATGTTTTCATATTATGAACAAGCAGCTTTCTCCAAATTTTCTTCAATATTATAATTTATTTTCCATCTACAGTTATGAAAGTTTTTAGTCTATCTTGCATTTCTTTCCTTTGATGAAAACATTACTTCCATTATTTCTGTAATATTTGTTTATGACAATCACCAACAGAACAGAATTTTAAAACAAAAAAATAATCAAGAAATTTAATGCAAAACCAAGTGTTTTCCACCAATTTTAGTGGTCATTATTATGTTTTTAAAATCAAACAGAATACATATTTAAATTAGAATGAACAAAAGATCATTGTGGGTGTAGCAGACTATCCCTCATCTTTCATCTGTGTGGAGGGCACCTTATGAATTTTCATAAACTTGTGTGTATTTTATTTTTAATTTTTTTAGTTTATTTTTTGCTTCTGCATCATGCATTTACCGAACTCCTTGCCTATGACATTTTTTTTGTTTATTCTAATTTAAATCTGTATTCTGTTTAATTATAGAAACCTGATGATCATTAAAAATGATGGAAAATATTTGCTTTTGCATTAAATTTCTTGTTTATTACTGGATTTTGGTGATATTTGTGTTTATTTTAATACTTTGTTTACATTTTTAATATTATTTTCCTAATATCATTTAGTTTTGTTTAATTGTAATTTATTCTATTAACTTTAATATAAATGAAGTTAGAAAAAATGAATTTATTGACCAAAATTTATGTTGTCATTTATTTTACATAATAAACTTAGTTAAATCATATATTTAGATCTGTAAGTTATTTATTTGAACAATTATCTGGAAAAAGATTGTTCAAGTAAATAACTTACAGATGGATGAAGATGGAATTAGAATTATTCTGAAAATGATAGTTATAGAACATATTAACTTTTTAAGTATACTATTTAAATGTAGTTGCTAATTCGAAATTTAATCTACCAATTAAAAAATTTAATGAAAAATCACAGACAACTAAGCCTAAATTATACTAATGATTAGATGGTACAGCCTAATTAATTAGTCTAACTTGATTAAATTAATTATTAAATTTAATAGGGGATGGCAGCATGTCATATCCCTTTAATTCAAATTATGTAATATTTACATAATTAATTAATGAAATTCTAGCTCGACAGTTAATTGTTTTATCATTTGACCAAAAAATATTAAATGATTGTTTACTTTCATAAGTGTTAACTTTCTTTCAAAAGATTTATTTTTGTATTTTGCTTTTAATCATAAAATCTATATTTAATTTTTACAGGAAGCAGTTTACTTAAAGAGTTGAAAAAACTTGATGACAAAAATTTATTAGTAGAAGTGCAGTTATTAGAAAGCAAGGTTTATCATGCAGTTGGCCATTTACCTAAAGCAAGGTATTTTATATTTACATTCTTAAAATTTGAAATTATTTTTAAATGTTTATTTTCTATTTTATATAAATGTGAACATTAGGTTAATAGTACAAAAGTCATTGTTACTTATTCTGATTCACTTCATGCACTGCAGGCTCTATAGTCTAGTCTTAACTGCTTTCAATTACATTGAAGTTTTTGTATCCAGAGGTAACAAGAGGCTTATACAACATATTTGAAATCATACTATGCATAAATATATTGGATGTTAGTCGTTTAGGTACTTACATACAGTTTGATGTTTGAATATGCAATGTAAGCCTCCTGTTGCTATTGGATACCAAAACTACAGTATAATCAAAAGTGGCCTCCATGATCTCATAAGGTCCATGTTGAAATTATAAGACCACCTTCATTTTGGACCAAAAAACATAGATATTGCTGTCAAACTTTTCACCATTAGCAAATGGGATAGAATATGATATACAGCAAAAATTTTATAGTGCTAAGTAAAATACAAGAGCAGAAATTGTGCTGACTGCATTAAATGCATTGTTTCATAAATATAAGATCATCAGCAAAATTCTTTTTAGAACAATTCAGATATGGCAAAAAAGAAAGCTTTTATGCAAATTATTTATTATTATGAGTTAGGAACATTACAGAGTAGGGTTGATGGTTTGAAGGTTAAAAAAAAATGAATAGTGAAATGTATATTACAACTAATTACAGCAGTTCAGTCATCATGCCATGAGGTTGTAACCTTAATGAGTCTGAAGTATAACAAATTTACCATCATAATAGAAAAGGCAAATCAGAAAAGAAGTTGCTACCCTAATTGAATGCATAAAGTGTATGTCAAACGGCATGTCTAAATCTGTTGTATGTAATGTTTTGGCAAAGAATAATGATTATGGAATTGTAATCACTGTTAGAAATGGCCCAGTACTCCATTTGTCATTGGCTGTAACATTGAAAATGTGACCTAGGAGCATTAAAAGGGACATTAGACTACACTCTTTCATTGTACTATCTGACATGCATTAAAGAACAATAAGAATGTGAAGTATCTTTGCGTAAAATTAAATCTTCATCTTTAGGATCACTACAAACAACCATTCCTTTACTGAACCAAGGGGACATCCTGGGAAAAAGATTTGAATTCCATAGTATTTCCAAATAAAAGTTTTGATAAGTCTGATAAGCTGGCATGACATGTAACAATCTGAAGAATGCCTTCAGCTGTTAGTTGGTTTTATCATGATATAGGAGTTTATTATAATGGAAAAACTGATCTATTGCATTAGACCAGCATTAACCAACCTTTGATCTCATGGACTGCTAAACTCACAATTTTGAATCCCTTAGACCACTATCATGAATTTTTTAATATGATACAAACATCTATAGAATAATGATCATAAAAGCTTAATTTTATTTTATTAATATGAAATTCACTTGTAATTATAACAAATTAGTACAAAGTTTATTTCTGCTTGTTTGAAATAAGTTTATGAATTCTTGGCTCTTTTCCATGAAGGACTACAATCGCGCTCACATTATGTATTGATTTATTGATAAGTCATTTTGTGTTTAGTTTTAGATTGTAATTTAAAAAATCCAATGAGTGAAAAAGTAACCAAGCATTTTGCATTTCTTTTGTAAAATTTTACATAACCTTGAGTTGATCAATGTCCAAAATTTTCTTGCAGACAGACCATCAGTGGTCCACGGACCACTGGTTGGCAACTGCTGATTGTAGTCAATAAAATGAACTCCAAGATATATTAGAAGATGCTGTACACTTCATTAATTCAATTTGGCCCAATGATAGGTGGTGACTCCTATCATTGGCCAAATTGAATTAATGAATTGGCAGTTCCAACAGGACAATGTTTCTTGTCACACGTCTCATTCAACAAGAGTGGTTTTCAAGGAAGAAATAACTATTTTTCCATGACCATCAAAATGTTCAAATCTCAGTCCTATCAACAATGATTAGGGATGAATAGCTGAAAAATTATATGCAAATGGAAAACAGTTTAAAGAAGTAAATGAATTAAAACTGCTAAAATGATAACACGGGATGATATTCCTGTGGAATATATTCAAAAATTGGTCACAAGTATGTCTAATCATATTTTTCAGGTTATTGCCAAGAATGGAAAAGTTATCAGCTATTAAATATGTGATAAAATGCCAAATCTGTCTCTGGTTTTATGAAACATGCTTTTGACATATTTGTGCCTTGTATGTCATAAAAGTACTTATGACTATTAGTTAAAATAGTCACTAAAATCCAATTTAAGATGTGTGTTTATTTCTGTTATCTGCGTTCCTTCTATACATTTTCTGCCCAAAATGAAGGTGATCTTATGGTTTTGAAACAGATCATAAATTTAAAGCAACACCAACTGCTAAACAAGATAAGGCTATTTTCCAGTGATTATAATTTTAATAACTAATTAATTTGGCCCTAGAGGGCGGTGTTAGGTGCCATCTCATGTTAAATTTAATAATTATAATTTAATTAAATAACAAGACCTTAAATTTATTTATAATTCTATTCTAATCAAAAATGCTTGCTAGAATTCATAAATGATTTTCTGAATGTCAGAAACGAATTTTTTTTCTAAAATTTTGTTGGATCCCAAGCCATGTTGGTATAAGAGGAAATAAATTAGCAGACATTGCTGCCAGATCAGCTTTTCCTTCTGGGCATTCAATGCCTATTGATACCACTGACTTAAAACTGATAATTAAGAAAAGACTGAGAGACAGAGAAAGATGTGTGGAATAAATAAGATTAAAATAAACTAAAATCAAAGCAATCATAGAAAATTGGATAATAGATGGAATATATGACAGATCTAAAGTTATTCTTGCTTGTGAATTAGACATACCTAACCAGCTCATCAGTACCTTCTGAAGTATGAATACCATACAATATGTTCATTTTGTTTGTTATGTCCTAAAGCAGTAAGCATACATTGATGTTAAGCATATACTGATTTTGAAAAGTCACAAGGACAATTTTTTTATTATTGTATATAGTGTTTTGTTTTATTATAGTAGAGCATCAATTTTCCAAAATAATGGGGATGAGATGGTTTTGGATAACTGGTTTTTTCAGACAATTAATCACATTTAATAGGGAAAGAATAAAATAAAAATATTAATTTTAGTTCCATTACAGTAGTAAAAAAAATTAAGGCATAGAAATTTATTACATATGAATGAAAATAAATAACAAAGACATCTAATTTATTAAAAACAAGCACTAGACTTTCATTTCAATCTACAATGTAATGATGAAACTGAATTTAAAGTAAAAAATACAAAATGGCAAAATTAGTATTAAGGACTTTCATAAAAATTATTTATTACAGTTTTTTTTTAAGTTTCTTTTTAACTCTGCTAAATCCCTGGCTTGCCCATGAGAGTTGAGAAGTTGCTCAGGTTGCATTATTAACTGTGTCAACACTGTTTCTAATGCATCAAATACTTCTTTGTGCATAGTCACAGTTAAGTAATAGATGCATTAGAAGCCTGACTTATTTATCATGCTTTTTTTATTTGTACTGTAATAAATAAAACCTAACATTAGTGTTGATAACAAGATAGCTTAATAGCTAGCCCAGAGAAGACTTCTAATAATTGTTATATGTAAAAACTGTAATTTCTAGAATTAATACTCTCTGAAGTTGATTTTGGTTAATCAATTTTTTGAATGATTGATTTTTGGATAATCAATTCTTTACTGCATATACACTCTATTGTTTGCTTTTTCCGTTCATTAATACATGTTGTTGTTGTTGTTCCTTTCCAGCTTTTATTGTCACTGTTTTCATTTATATATGATGCTATTGTTTTAATTTTTTTTAACATTGCTCATTTGTTTATTCATTCATATTTTTAACTTTTGTGCTTGGCACAGAATGAACAGAACAGGTCATGCTGTGCAAAAAAAGGCAATAAAAAATCTTTGTGTAAAAAAGTAACTAATAGTATAAAATGAAAAATATATATGTGCTACATTATTTATTTTATTTATTTATTTAAAGGGCTGCTCTTACATCAGCTAGAACAACAGCTAATGCCATTTATTGTCCTCCAAAACTTCAAGCTGCATTGGATTTACAGTCGGGTATTCTTCATGCAGCAGATGAAAGGGATTTCAAAACAGCATTTTCCTATTTTTATGAAGCTTTTGAAGGTTATGATTCAATTGACAGTCCAAAAGCAATAGTTGCCTTGAAATACATGTTGTTATCTAAGATTATGCTAAATTTGTAAGCTTATAACTTATTATGTTAAAATCTTTATTTTTATAAATTCTTTTATTCTTATTTTAAAAATATTTGAACATTAGACCAGATGATGTTCATTCTATTATTATGGGAAAATTAGCATTGAGGTATGTTGGTCCAGAAGTTCAAGCAATGAAAACTATTGCAGAAGCAAGCCATAAAAGATCTCTAGCAGATTTTGAAAAGGTTTGTCAACATAACTAATGCTTGAAAATTAATGAATCTAAGACTAAATGAATTTTTGTAAAAAATAAATGATATTTCTTGGTATATTTTTGAGAAAAATGCTGTAATTTTATACTTAATTTTACTAATTCAGCCATTTATCCAGTAATCCTTATATTTCAATATTCGTTTATATACGTCAAGTAATAATAAAAATTTAAGGATTTTTGGGGTTATTAACATTTACATTATATAAAAATTTGTTTTTTCATTTAATGGATATGTTCAATCGGAATATGAAACTTTTCAAAATTTGAATTGGAATTACCCAAAGAAAAAAATGAAGAATTAAGTATGTTATAGATAACGGGAAATATTTTAACTGTTTTATCTGTACAATTTACTTATTATTTTAAGATAACCAATTAAGAAAATGATTCTTTACAAATAAATTATAAGTAAATATTTAAGTTTCTTTAAGACATCAGCAATTTTATTAATTAAAATATTTTCAGAGATTATATTTCCAAAATCAGAATTGTATTAATTTAAATTTAAATATTAAGACACAAGAAAATTTGTTCAAAATTAATTTTAGATGCTGTGTTCCTTGTTGTATTAATCTTACAAATGCATTTTCTCAAAAAGATCCAATAAATGTTAAATGAAATTATCAGATTATCTGTTTTAATTTTGAAAGAATTCATTTGGTCATAAAATTATTTTTATTAAAATATATTTAATTTATAATTATTATTTTAGGCTCGCAGTGATTATAAAAAAGAATTAGAAGGTGATCAAATTATCAAGTCCCATTTGGCCACACTTTATGACAATATGCTGGAGCAGAATTTGTGTAGAATCATTGAGCCCTATTCTCATGTTCAGGTAAACTGTTCAATAAAAATATTGTGTAGAGAATAAGATAAGTTTATTTTATAATGTTAACAACAACAACAACAATTGAAAGTATTTTATTGATTTTTGTATACCAATTGCTATGTTGTCCTAATTCTTAAATTATTTTGCTCCACAAAGCAGAATAAATATTGTACCAATATTCCAATAAATCACTTGATGAAAATATAAAAAGTGATTTCAGAGCAACATACCATGAATGGTACTTTAAGTAAAAATATTTGTAATATTAAATAGTTTCATAAATTTTTAAAATAAAGTACAAAGTTTCAATCATTTACCCAAATAATTATATGAGTAGAAAAGATTATCTAGAGAGATTTTAAAAATAAAAATTCTTCTTTTATTTTTTAAAAATTTTATGACCTGTTAACTAATTTTATGAATAATAATATGAACGTAAAAAAAAATAGTAAAGTAGCATTATACTTATGGAAGATCAATCAAAACCTTCCCTACTGATTGATATAGCATGGTGAGTCTACTATATATAGTGACATGAACATGATTATAGATACAGTAAGTCAAAATACATCATTAATAAAAATATAACATTGAATATAATTTTTGTGCACACACACATGTATATGAAAACCAACATTTACATTAGCATTATTATATTTTTATAACTTTATACAAATGAATTATATAGGTGTGAAAAGAAGCAAGAAATTATTGCATTAACACTAAACAACTATGTTCTGTTTCAATACATAATTTTTATATTCAGGAATCTGAATTATAAATTAATTTAAAACATGTTTAGATTTAAAATTTTATTCTATAAATTAAACTGAATATAGAAAGTGAAAGGATAATAAAAAGCAAAATAAAAATTCAATAAAATTTTCTTGTTGGATTTAAAAAGTTTTGGGATTTCTTATTTTTTTTAATGCTTAATATTAGTTTAATTTATAGGTTTTTGAATTAATCAATTCTTAACTTTCTGTAATGTATAACTAAACATAATACATTTACTTTTTATTTTACATTATATACAATAAATATTTCAACAACAATTTTTACAATCGATTTTAAAATTAATTATTTTGGTTCTTGCATTACATTATACTGATTATATAATACATAAATATATATGGTTTAATATCAGTCACTGTAATATATAGGTTATATGGAAGATATGAATTTTGTGTATATTTTTTAAATTTGAAATATCAGTATTTTGGAGTGAACTAATTTTTGTTATAAGATATTTAAACACAATTACTTGAATTAAACTGGAGGTTATTTAATAAATTTCTAAAAGAATGTTTAAAATGTAGATAAGAAAATCACTGAATTTTTTCATATTTTTGGGATACAATTAGAAAAAATATGATAGAAACTATGAATTTATATCTACAATTAGAAAATTATAGATATAAATTTTCACTGTTGTCCATCCATCTGTCCATTTGTCCTTAATCTCAAGAATGGATTAAGATAGATGAAAGACAAGACCAGATATAGAAAGGTTAGGGACAGGAGGCCCTGATTGACTATATACAAACTTCTGATCCAAACTGGAAGTCACATTATTTCAATTCAAAAATTTTTCCCTGAAAGGTGTTAGATAGATCGATGATCTCCAAAGTTTTTTGATTGCATATCCCTAAGACAAAAATAATTATAAGTTTATAATATAATAAAATTTGCTAAATTTCCACTATAAATTCTTGCTAAATTTTCTGCTACCCACACTGCAATTTGAATTTTTTTCCATGTTTGATTGCATGTGATTGTGACCCTACTTATTCAGGAGGATGACTGTAAGATTAGACAGACTGCAGATAAAACACACACAGTATTTTGAAGGGAAATTTTGCATACCCCACTTTGGAGACCACTGAGATAGATGACTGGCACGACTCTATTGTTAAAGGAAAAGTATGATGTATGGGGCAAGCCACCACTAATTTGAGGTGGAGAGCATATATTTTAAGTTAAATAAATTTAAAATATGATTAAAAATTGAAGACTGGCATTGTGATCATGTCACATTAAATACGTAATTGCTTGCTTTTATTATAGTCTCTAATGAGTGATTATTGCCAAAATACTGTTTTCTTGCTTACAACACTCAATTAAAGATCCATGTACTGTTAGTTTTCATTTTATATTTTAAAACAAATGTTTGTTTTCATATTTATATTAATGGGTATAGCTATTAAATTTATCAATAGACTTTTTTGTTTTTGCTTTNCTTGTTTCCTTTATTTTATGAGACCATTTACTGAACTTTTCAGACACACCTTGTATTATTATTATATTTATAAGATTGTTTATTTGTAATTTTTAAATTTGAAACAATTCTTATTTATTTTATGTTGGATGAAGATAACCTAAGTGAAGGTCGAAAATATTTCTGACTTAAATATTTTTTGGAAACCAGAACTTTAACAGTTTATTATTAATATGTTGGATAAAGCTACACTATATGTATTGATCTATTTTTTAAATTTTTATAGTGCATTTAGAGAACTTAACAAATAATTGTATTTTAGTTTATTCCACATTAGTGATAAACATGTTGGTAAGAACTGAACCTTCTTTTACAATAAATTACTAATTTAGGTCTTACAAATATTTGAAATATTCTTTCTAAGCAAACAGTTGTTTGTTATATTAATTATACAATTACTCAAAACAAGTTAGTTTGATTTTTTTTGTTAGTTAGTTAGTTTTTTATGCACCAAGAGCTATTTAAAAGACAGAAAAAACCTCCACTAAATACAATTTTTACCTTTTTATAGAAAATATAATGTTTTCATATTATGAACAAGCAGCTTTCTCCAAATTTTCTTCAATATTATAATTTATTTTCCATCTACAGTTATGAAAGTTTTTAGTCTATCTTGCATTTCTTTCCTTTGATGAAAACATTACTTCCATTATTTCTGTAATATTTGTTTATGACAATCACCAACAGAACAGAATTTTAAAACAAAAAAATAATCAAGAAATTTAATGCAAAACCAAGTGTTTTCCACCAATTTTAGTGGTCATTATTATGTTTTTAAAATCAAACAGAATACATATTTAAATTAGAATGAACAAAAGATCATTGTGGGTGTAGCAGACTATCCCTCATCTTTCATCTGTGTGGAGGGCACCTTATGAATTTTCATAAACTTGTGTGTATTTTATTTTTAATTTTTTTAGTTTATTTTTTGCTTCTGCATCATGCATTTACCGAACTCCTTGCCTATGACATTTTTTTTGTTTATTCTAATTTAAATCTGTATTCTGTTTAATTATAGAAACCTGATGATCATTAAAAATGATGGAAAATATTTGCTTTTGCATTAAATTTCTTGTTTATTACTGGATTTTGGTGATATTTGTGTTTATTTTAATACTTTGTTTACATTTTTAATATTATTTTCCTAATATCATTTAGTTTTGTTTAATTGTAATTTATTCTATTAACTTTAATATAAATGAAGTTAGAAAAAATGAATTTATTGACCAAAATTTATGTTGTCATTTATTTTACATAATAAACTTAGTTAAATCATATATTTAGATCTGTAAGTTATTTATTTGAACAATTATCTGGAAAAAGATTGTTCAAGTAAATAACTTACAGATGGATGAAGATGGAATTAGAATTATTCTGAAAATGATAGTTATAGAACATATTAACTTTTTAAGTATACTATTTAAATGTAGTTGCTAATTCGAAATTTAATCTACCAATTAAAAAATTTAATGAAAAATCACAGACAACTAAGCCTAAATTATACTAATGATTAGATGGTACAGCCTAATTAATTAGTCTAACTTGATTAAATTAATTATTAAATTTAATAGGGGATGGCAGCATGTCATATCCCTTTAATTCAAATTATGTAATATTTACATAATTAATTAATGAAATTCTAGCTCGACAGTTAATTGTTTTATCATTTGACCAAAAAATATTAAATGATTGTTTACTTTCATAAGTGTTAACTTTCTTTCAAAAGATTTATTTTTGTATTTTGCTTTTAATCATAAAATCTATATTTAATTTTTACAGGAAGCAGTTTACTTAAAGAGTTGAAAAAACTTGATGACAAAAATTTATTAGTAGAAGTGCAGTTATTAGAAAGCAAGGTTTATCATGCAGTTGGCCATTTACCTAAAGCAAGGTATTTTATATTTACATTCTTAAAATTTGAAATTATTTTTAAATGTTTATTTTCTATTTTATATAAATGTGAACATTAGGTTAATAGTACAAAAGTCATTGTTACTTATTCTGATTCACTTCATGCACTGCAGGCTCTATAGTCTAGTCTTAACTGCTTTCAATTACATTGAAGTTTTTGTATCCAGAGGTAACAAGAGGCTTATACAACATATTTGAAATCATACTATGCATAAATATATTGGATGTTAGTCGTTTAGGTACTTACATACAGTTTGATGTTTGAATATGCAATGTAAGCCTCCTGTTGCTATTGGATACCAAAACTACAGTATAATCAAAAGTGGCCTCCATGATCTCATAAGGTCCATGTTGAAATTATAAGACCACCTTCATTTTGGACCAAAAAACATAGATATTGCTGTCAAACTTTTCACCATTAGCAAATGGGATAGAATATGATATACAGCAAAAATTTTATAGTGCTAAGTAAAATACAAGAGCAGAAATTGTGCTGACTGCATTAAATGCATTGTTTCATAAATATAAGATCATCAGCAAAATTCTTTTTAGAACAATTCAGATATGGCAAAAAAGAAAGCTTTTATGCAAATTATTTATTATTATGAGTTAGGAACATTACAGAGTAGGGTTGATGGTTTGAAGGTTAAAAAAAAATGAATAGTGAAATGTATATTACAACTAATTACAGCAGTTCAGTCATCATGCCATGAGGTTGTAACCTTAATGAGTCTGAAGTATAACAAATTTACCATCATAATAGAAAAGGCAAATCAGAAAAGAAGTTGCTACCCTAATTGAATGCATAAAGTGTATGTCAAACGGCATGTCTAAATCTGTTGTATGTAATGTTTTGGCAAAGAATAATGATTATGGAATTGTAATCACTGTTAGAAATGGCCCAGTACTCCATTTGTCATTGGCTGTGACATTGAAAATGTGACCTAGGAGCATTAAAAGGGACATTAGACTACACTCTTTCATTGTACTATCTGACATGCATTAAAGAACAATAAGAATGTGAAGTATCTTTGCGTAAAATTAAATCTTCATCTTTAGGATCACTACAAACAACCATTCCTTTACTGAACCAAGGGGACATCCTGGGAAAAAGATTTGAATTCCATAGTATTTCCAAATAAAAGTTTTGATAAGTCTGATAAGCTGGCATGACATGTAACAATCTGAAGAATGCCTTCAGCTGTTAGTTGGTTTTATCATGATATAGGAGTTTATTATAATGGAAAAACTGATCTATTGCATTAGACCAGCATTAACCAACCTTTGATCTCATGGACTGCTAAACTCACAATTTTGAATCCCTTAGACCACTATCATGAATTTTTTAATATGATACAAACATCTATAGAATAATGATCATAAAAGCTTAATTTTATTTTATTAATATGAAATTCACTTGTAATTATAACAAATTAGTACAAAGTTTATTTCTGCTTGTTTGAAATAAGTTTATGAATTCTTGGCTCTTTTCCATGAAGGACTACAATCGCGCTCACATTATGTATTGATTTATTGATAAGTCATTTTGTGTTTAGTTTTAGATTGTAATTTAAAAAATCCAATGAGTGAAAAAGTAACCAAGCATTTTGCATTTCTTTTGTAAAATTTTACATAACCTTGAGTTGATCAATGTCCAAAATTTTCTTGCAGACAGACCATCAGTGGTCCACGGACCACTGGTTGGCAACTGCTGATTGTAGTCAATAAAATGAACTCCAAGATATATTAGAAGATGCTGTACACTTCATTAATTCAATTTGGCCCAATGATAGGTGGTGACTCCTATCATTGGCCAAATTGAATTAATGAATTGGCAGTTCCAACAGGACAATGTTTCTTGTCACACGTCTCATTCAACAAGAGTGGTTTTCAAGGAAGAAATAACTATTTTTCCATGACCATCAAAATGTTCAAATCTCAGTCCTATCAACAATGATTAGGGATGAATAGCTGAAAAATTATATGCAAATGGAAAACAGTTTAAAGAAGTAAATGAATTAAAACTGCTAAAATGATAACACGGGATGATATTCCTGTGGAATATATTCAAAAATTGGTCACAAGTATGTCTAATCATATTTTTCAGGTTATTGCCAAGAATGGAAAAGTTATCAGCTATTAAATATGTGATAAAATGCCAAATCTGTCTCTGGTTTTATGAAACATGCTTTTGACATATTTGTGCCTTGTATGTCATAAAAGTACTTATGACTATTAGTTAAAATAGTCACTAAAATCCAATTTAAGATGTGTGTTTATTTCTGTTATCTGCGTTCCTTCTATACATTTTCTGCCCAAAATGAAGGTGATCTTATGGTTTTGAAACAGATCATAAATTTAAAGCAACACCAACTGCTAAACAAGATAAGGCTATTTTCCAGTGATTATAATTTTAATAACTAATTAATTTGGCCCTAGAGGGCGGTGTTAGGTGCCATCTCATGTTAAATTTAATAATTATAATTTAATTAAATAACAAGACCTTAAATTTATTTATAATTCTATTCTAATCAAAAATGCTTGCTAGAATTCATAAATGATTTTCTGAATGTCAGAAACGAATTTTTTTTCTAAAATTTTGTTGGATCCCAAGCCATGTTGGTATAAGAGGAAATAAATTAGCAGACATTGCTGCCAGATCAGCTTTTCCTTCTGGGCATTCAATGCCTATTGATACCACTGACTTAAAACTGATAATTAAGAAAAGACTGAGAGACAGAGAAAGATGTGTGGAATAAATAAGATTAAAATAAACTAAAATCAAAGCAATCATAGAAAATTGGATAATAGATGGAATATATGACAGATCTAAAGTTATTCTTGCTTGTGAATTAGACATACCTAACCAGCTCATCAGTACCTTCTGAAGTATGAATACCATACAATATGTTCATTTTGTTTGTTATGTCCTAAAGCAGTAAGCATACATTGATGTTAAGCATACACTGATTTTGAAAAGTCACAAGGACAATTTTTTTATTATTGTATATAGTGTTTTGTTTTATTATAGTAGAGCATCAATTTTCCAAAATAATGGGGATGAGATGGTTTTGGATAACTGGTTTTTTCAGACAATTAATCACATTTAATAGGGAAAGAATAAAATAAAAATATTAATTTTAGTTCCATTACAGTAGTAAAAAAAATTAAGGCATAGAAATTTATTACATATGAATGAAAATAAATAACAAAGACATCTAATTTATTAAAAACAAGCACTAGACTTTCATTTCAATCTACAATGTAATGATGAAACTGAATTTAAAGTAAAAAATACAAAATGGCAAAATTAGTATTAAGGACTTTCATAAAAATTATTTATTACAGTTTTTTTTTAAGTTTCTTTTTAACTCTGCTAAATCCCTGGCTTGCCCATGAGAGTTGAGAAGTTGCTCAGGTTGCATTATTAACTGTGTCAACACTGTTTCTAATGCATCAAATACTTCTTTGTGCATAGTCACAGTTAAGTAATAGATGCATTAGAAGCCTGACTTATTTATCATGCTTTTTTTATTTGTACTGTAATAAATAAAACCTAACATTAGTGTTGATAACAAGATAGCTTAATAGCTAGCCCAGAGAAGACTTCCAATAATTGTTATATGTAAAAACTGTAATTTCTAGAATTAATACTCTCTGAAGTTGATTTTGGTTAATCAATTTTTTGAATGATTGATTTTTGGATAATCAATTCTTTACTGCATATACACTCTATTGTTTGCTTTTTCCGTTCATTAATACATGTTGTTGTTGTTGTTCCTTTCCAGCTTTTATTGTCACTGTTTTCATTTATATATGATGCTATTGTTTTAATTTTTTTTAACATTGCTCATTTGTTTATTCATTCATATTTTTAACTTTTGTGCTTGGCACAGAATGAACAGAACAGGTCATGCTGTGCAAAAAAAGGCAATAAAAAATCTTTGTGTAAAAAAGTAACTAATAGTATAAAATGAAAAATATATATGTGCTACATTATTTATTTTATTTATTTATTTAAAGGGCTGCTCTTACATCAGCTAGAACAACAGCTAATGCCATTTATTGTCCTCCAAAACTTCAAGCTGCATTGGATTTACAGTCGGGTATTCTTCATGCAGCAGATGAAAGGGATTTCAAAACAGCATTTTCCTATTTTTATGAAGCTTTTGAAGGTTATGATTCAATTGACAGTCCAAAAGCAATAGTTGCCTTGAAATACATGTTGTTATCTAAGATTATGCTAAATTTGTAAGCTTATAACTTATTATGTTAAAATCTTTATTTTTATAAATTCTTTTATTCTTATTTTAAAAATATTTGAACATTAGACCAGATGATGTTCATTCTATTATTATGGGAAAATTAGCATTGAGGTATGTTGGTCCAGAAGTTCAAGCAATGAAAACTATTGCAGAAGCAAGCCATAAAAGATCTCTAGCAGATTTTGAAAAGGTTTGTCAACATAACTAATGCTTGAAAATTAATGAATCTAAGACTAAATGAATTTTTGTAAAAAATAAATGATATTTCTTGGTATATTTTTGAGAAAAATGCTGTAATTTTATACTTAATTTTACTAATTCAGCCATTTATCCAGTAATCCTTATATTTCAATATTCGTTTATATACGTCAAGTAATAATAAAAATTTAAGGATTTTTGGGGTTATTAACATTTACATTATATAAAAATTTGTTTTTTCATTTAATGGATATGTTCAATCGGAATATGAAACTTTTCAAAATTTGAATTGGAATTACCCAAAGAAAAAAATGAAGAATTAAGTATGTTATAGATAACGGGAAATATTTTAACTGTTTTATCTGTACAATTTACTTATTATTTTAAGATAACCAATTAAGAAAATGATTCTTTACAAATAAATTATAAGTAAATATTTAAGTTTCTTTAAGACATCAGCAATTTTATTAATTAAAATATTTTCAGAGATTATATTTCCAAAATCAGAATTGTATTAATTTAAATTTAAATATTAAGACACAAGAAAATTTGTTCAAAATTAATTTTAGATGCTGTGTTCCTTGTTGTATTAATCTTACAAATGCATTTTCTCAAAAAGATCCAATAAATGTTAAATGAAATTATCAGATTATCTGTTTTAATTTTGAAAGAATTCATTTGGTCATAAAATTATTTTTATTAAAATATATTTAATTTATAATTATTATTTTAGGCTCGCAGTGATTATAAAAAAGAATTAGAAGGTGATCAAATTATCAAGTCCCATTTGGCCACACTTTATGACAATATGCTGGAGCAGAATTTGTGTAGAATCATTGAGCCCTATTCTCATGTTCAGGTAAACTGTTCAATAAAAATATTGTGTAGAGAATAAGATAAGTTTATTTTATAATGTTAACAACAACAACAACAATTGAAAGTATTTTATTGATTTTTGTATACCAATTGCTATGTTGTCCTAATTCTTAAATTATTTTGCTCCACAAAGCAGAATAAATATTGTACCAATATTCCAATAAATCACTTGATGAAAATATAAAAAGTGATTTCAGAGCAACATACCATGAATGGTACTTTAAGTAAAAATATTTGTAATATTAAATAGTTTCATAAATTTTTAAAATAAAGTACAAAGTTTCAATCATTTACCCAAATAATTATATGAGTAGAAAAGATTATCTAGAGAGATTTTAAAAATAAAAATTCTTCTTTTATTTTTTAAAAATTTTATGACCTGTTAACTAATTTTATGAATAATAATATGAACGTAAAAAAAAATAGTAAAGTAGCATTATACTTATGGAAGATCAATCAAAACCTTCCCTACTGATTGATATAGCATGGTGAGTCTACTATATATAGTGACATGAACATGATTATAGATACAGTAAGTCAAAATACATCATTAATAAAAATATAACATTGAATATAATTTTTGTGCACACACACATGTATATGAAAACCAACATTTACATTAGCATTATTATATTTTTATAACTTTATACAAATGAATTATATAGGTGTGAAAAGAAGCAAGAAATTATTGCATTAACACTAAACAACTATGTTCTGTTTCAATACATAATTTTTATATTCAGGAATCTGAATTATAAATTAATTTAAAACATGTTTAGATTTAAAATTTTATTCTATAAATTAAACTGAATATAGAAAGTGAAAGGATAATAAAAAGCAAAATAAAAATTCAATAAAATTTTCTTGTTGGATTTAAAAAGTTTTGGGATTTCTTATTTTTTTTAATGCTTAATATTAGTTTAATTTATAGGTTTTTGAATTAATCAATTCTTAACTTTCTGTAATGTATAACTAAACATAATACATTTACTTTTTATTTTACATTATATACAATAAATATTTCAACAACAATTTTTACAATCGATTTTAAAATTAATTATTTTGGTTCTTGCATTACATTATACTGATTATATAATACATAAATATATATGGTTTAATATCAGTCACTGTAATATATAGGTTATATGGAAGATATGAATTTTGTGTATATTTTTTAAATTTGAAATATCAGTATTTTGGAGTGAACTAATTTTTGTTATAAGATATTTAAACACAATTACTTGAATTAAACTGGAGGTTATTTAATAAATTTCTAAAAGAATGTTTAAAATGTAGATAAGAAAATCACTGAATTTTTTCATATTTTTGGGATACAATTAGAAAAAATATGATAGAAACTATGAATTTATATCTACAATTAGAAAATTATAGATATAAATTTTCACTGTTGTCCATCCATCTGTCCATTTGTCCTTAATCTCAAGAATGGATTAAGATAGATGAAAGACAAGACCAGATATAGAAAGGTTAGGGACAGGAGGCCCTGATTGACTATATACAAACTTCTGATCCAAACTGGAAGTCACATTATTTCAATTCAAAAATTTTTCCCTGAAAGGTGTTAGATAGATCGATGATCTCCAAAGTTTTTTGATTGCATATCCCTAAGACAAAAATAATTATAAGTTTATAATATAATAAAATTTGCTAAATTTCCACTATAAATTCTTGCTAAATTTTCTGCTACCCACACTGCAATTTGAATTTTTTTCCATGTTTGATTGCATGTGATTGTGACCCTACTTATTCAGGAGGATGACTGTAAGATTAGACAGACTGCAGATAAAACACACACAGTATTTTGAAGGGAAATTTTGCATACCCCACTTTGGAGACCACTGAGATAGATGACTGGCACGACTCTATTGTTAAAGGAAAAGTATGATGTATGGGGCAAGCCACCACTAATTTGAGGTGGAGAGCATATATTTTAAGTTAAATAAATTTAAAATATGATTAAAAATTGAAGACTGGCATTGTGATCATGTCACATTAAATACGTAATTGCTTGCTTTTATTATAGTCTCTAATGAGTGATTATTGCCAAAATACTGTTTTCTTGCTTACAACACTCAATTAAAGATCCATGTACTGTTAGTTTTCATTTTATATTTTAAAACAAATGTTTGTTTTCATATTTATATTAATGGGTATAGCTATTAAATTTATCAATAGACTTTTTTGTTTTTGCTTTATATAATTTTGTTTTAAATTATATTTTATATTTTTTCAGGTTAAATATATTGCTAACACTATACATTTACCAATGGTATGTTTGAATTCTTAAATTGTATAAAATTTTATATATTAAAAATATATATCTTAATGTTTTGTATTATAATTTTAATAGGATACTGTAGAGAAGAAATTATCACAAATGATTTTAGATAAAAAATTTAATGGTAAGTAAAAATTTCATAACAAAATTTTATTTGCAGTTAATTTTACTTAATGCTATTTATAAGATTTTAAGTATAATTCTTTATTTTATAATATTTGAGAAGTTTATATATATACTAACATGCCAGAAAAATAACACCATCTGTCATAAGTACTATCACTTGACACCAGTGCAAATTTTGAGATAACCCATTTATGTTAATTTGCTAACACAGGCTATATAAACAAAAGTAAATTGACAATTTTCTTGATCAACATGGATAAAAAAATTACTTAGTAACGCTGATTATGGATGTATAGTAAGGTAATCCATCTGTCTTAACCCTATATTTAGAATGACTGCTGTATTTGTGTTTTCCTGTGCAACTATGTTTAGGGTTTATAACTAGACAGCACATCTGAAAAAAACTGTTGTATGTGGTACATGTGAACAAAATCTAGGCTGATATTTAAGACCATTGTTAGCTGTTGTAGATTGTAATTGGTGATTATTAAGCAACATTATTCCAGATTAACCTATTCGATGTTGAAATTTTTATTTGTTGCCTGTGATGCCATGTTGAATTTTCATCAATGTTAAGCATAAATTTTTTTTTAAATAATAATTGTGTTTACTGTATCATAAAAAATTATTTTTTTATGTTTCACAAGCAAAATATATATATTGAATAATATAAAAACGAAAAAAATTTTATTTTAAAAGTTTCTTTTAATACAGTAGAACCTCGAAAACTCGGCTCTCGATAACCCGGCACTCCGGATAACTCGGGCAATCCTGGCAGAGCAAAAAAATCCTTAGTTAATTAATTTTCATTATAGACAGCTTTATAAAAGTATAAAAGCTCTCATAAAGTATTTTTCTGAGGTCTGTCTTATCAGGTAAATTACTGTACACAGTGTATTCGTTAATTTTCATTTTCATGTAGTAAAGGCTCTATGCCTTCATAAAGGACGTACTTTTCCTTTGTTTAAGGGTATTCGGGCAGTTTATTCTCTGTTATATTCTCAAGTAAACAATACATACAAGTACAGTACAGTATTTTCTGAGGAAACACTCGCACTTATTTTTTTTAACCCCATTCCCGATAACCCGGCATTTTCACAAACTCGGCCACCCTTCGGTCCACATTAGGCCGAGTTTCCAAGGTTCTACTGTATAAAAATTGTGATGCAAAGCGACATCTAGTATCAAAAACATTCAAATGTAAACACGGAAATATTCAGGATCAATGTAGGACAGGTTAAAGCCAATTTTAGTACTGGTGCATCTGTGGCCATTAGTTAATGCACTGTGTAAAGGTCTGTAACCCTGCTGGGATTTGGTAGTTGTGCCCTTATTATCAGCTTGTCACTGTCACAAAGCTGTCATGGGCTAGAAAATGCCACAATTGGACAATTAAAGACTTATAGACTTGCCTGGTCAAACAAGTTTAGATTTTCTGTTTCAAACTGATAGGTTGGTGCACATATGGTGAAAACCTCATGAATCCATGGACCAGCCAAGTTGGGGACTAAGTTGCAAGCTGATGGGAATGGTGTTCTGCTATGGGGCCTCTTTACTTGGACAGATACTTGTCCTTTTGTACTTCTTTAGATTATGGAAACTGGAAACAGATACCTGGACACTTTTGCAGATCATCTGTAATCTTTCAAATGGCTCTACAGTTGGATGGCAATGATATTTTTAAACAAAACAATGCACTTCCACCTTAGGGGACAGTGTTCATATAAGGCCAGAGGAACTTTTTACAGACTTCTGTGACATTGTCTGGCTTCTTATATAACTAGATTTTCTGTTGAAAATCTCTGAAATACTGCCATTTGGAAGAAAGACCTTCTGATAATCTTGTGAAATTATGGTTTGCAACTGAGACAGCTTGGGTTGCTATACCTTCATATCACTACCAAAGTCTTGTGGACTTTCTGCCAGTGTTTGTCAATGCAGTTTTCAAGTCAAAAGTGGAGCTACATGCTATTAGACTAGTGTTTCTATTTTTCTGGCATGTCAGTGTAGATTAAATGGTTTTAAACATAGTCATCGTATAATTGAATGTTCTTATACTTATACTTGTTTATCTCAATCAAATTTAGGTTATTAGTGCATTTAATTAATATTAGATGTATTTTTGCAATTTGCTCCAAATAATAAAACAATTCTAGAAAATGAGAATGTTTTATTACTATTAGATTTAGATGAAAATAAGTGATTGTTAGTCAGCAAGATGTGTTTCATTTTTTAAACTAACAAATTTTTTAGAAAAATATGATTTTGAAAATTTGTAATTTTAGCAGTAGCTGACAATTAATTTATTGTTTGGTTCAATGCAACAAAATTAATTTATTATTAATTATTTTGCTAATTTAATAAATCAATAAATTTAGAAAAATTCCAAATTTACCATTCTTTAATAATGGAAATAAAATAATCTACACATGCATCTCATTTGATCAATATGTATGATACAATATATCTTAATGTTTTGTATTATAATTTTAATAGGATACTGTAGAGAAGAAATTATCACAAATGATTTTAGATAAAAAATTTAATGGTAAGTAAAAATTTCATAACAAAATTTTATTTGCAGTTAATTTTACTTAATGCTATTTATAAGATTTTAAGTATAATTCTTTATTTTATAATATTTGAGAAGTTTATATATATACTAACATGCCAGAAAAATAACACCATCTGTCATAAGTACTATCACTTGACACCAGTGCAAATTTTGAGATAACCCATTTATGTTAATTTGCTAACACAGGCTATATAAACAAAAGTAAATTGACAATTTTCTTGATCAACATGGATAAAAAAATTACTTAGTAACGCTGATTATGGATGTATAGTAAGGTAATCCATCTGTCTTAACCCTATATTTAGAATGACTGCTGTATTTGTGTTTTCCTGTGCAACTATGTTTAGGGTTTATAACTAGACAGCACATCTGAAAAAAACTGTTGTATGTGGTACATGTGAACAAAATCTAGGCTGATATTTAAGACCATTGTTAGCTGTTGTAGATTGTAATTGGTGATTATTAAGCAACATTATTCCAGATTAACCTATTCGATGTTGAAATTTTTATTTGTTGCCTGTGATGCCATGTTGAATTTTCATCAATGTTAAGCATAAATTTTTTTTTAAATAATAATTGTGTTTACTGTATCATAAAAAATTATTTTTTTATGTTTCACAAGCAAAATATATATATTGAATAATATAAAAACGAAAAAAATTTTATTTTAAAAGTTTGTTTTAATATAAAAATTGTGATGCAAAGCGACATCTAGTATCAAAAATGTTCCAATGTAAACACAGAAATATTCGGGATCACCCACGCAGGTCAATGAGGTCAACCTGAATATTTTCGGGTTCAACGTAGGACAGGTTAATGAGTTATTATTATTTATAAAAACTTTAAAATTAGAATTCAATTTAAAAACAGTATTTTGATTAAACACGCTGAAATTAAGAAATACAGTAGAGCATCGATTATCCGATCCCCGATTAACCATCACATCGGTTAACCGACCGTTCTAGTCGGCAAATTTCAAATGTCCGCTAGTGATGTGGCACTACAATATTTGGCTATGTCTTGGCTACTNTTGAAAGAATTCATTTGGTCATAAAATTATTTTTATTAAAATATATTTAATTTATAATTATTATTTTAGGCTCGCAGTGATTATAAAAAAGAATTAGAAGGTGATCAAATTATCAAGTCCCATTTGGCCACACTTTATGACAATATGCTGGAGCAGAATTTGTGTAGAATCATTGAGCCCTATTCTCATGTTCAGGTAAACTGTTCAATAAAAATATTGTGTAGAGAATAAGATAAGTTTATTTTATAATGTTAACAACAACAACAACAATTGAAAGTATTTTATTGATTTTTGTATACCAATTGCTATGTTGTCCTAATTCTTAAATTATTTTGCTCCACAAAGCAGAATAAATATTGTACCAATATTCCAATAAATCACTTGATGAAAATATAAAAAGTGATTTCAGAGCAACATACCATGAATGGTACTTTAAGTAAAAATATTTGTAATATTAAATAGTTTCATAAATTTTTAAAATAAAGTACAAAGTTTCAATCATTTACCCAAATAATTATATGAGTAGAAAAGATTATCTAGAGAGATTTTAAAAATAAAAATTCTTCTTTTATTTTTTAAAAATTTTATGACCTGTTAACTAATTTTATGAATAATAATATGAACGTAAAAAAAAATAGTAAAGTAGCATTATACTTATGGAAGATCAATCAAAACCTTCCCTACTGATTGATATAGCATGGTGAGTCTACTATATATAGTGACATGAACATGATTATAGATACAGTAAGTCAAAATACATCATTAATAAAAATATAACATTGAATATAATTTTTGTGCACACACACATGTATATGAAAACCAACATTTACATTAGCATTATTATATTTTTATAACTTTATACAAATGAATTATATAGGTGTGAAAAGAAGCAAGAAATTATTGCATTAACACTAAACAACTATGTTCTGTTTCAATACATAATTTTTATATTCAGGAATCTGAATTATAAATTAATTTAAAACATGTTTAGATTTAAAATTTTATTCTATAAATTAAACTGAATATAGAAAGTGAAAGGATAATAAAAAGCAAAATAAAAATTCAATAAAATTTTCTTGTTGGATTTAAAAAGTTTTGGGATTTCTTATTTTTTTTAATGCTTAATATTAGTTTAATTTATAGGTTTTTGAATTAATCAATTCTTAACTTTCTGTAATGTATAACTAAACATAATACATTTACTTTTTATTTTACATTATATACAATAAATATTTCAACAACAATTTTTACAATCGATTTTAAAATTAATTATTTTGGTTCTTGCATTACATTATACTGATTATATAATACATAAATATATATGGTTTAATATCAGTCACTGTAATATATAGGTTATATGGAAGATATGAATTTTGTGTATATTTTTTAAATTTGAAATATCAGTATTTTGGAGTGAACTAATTTTTGTTATAAGATATTTAAACACAATTACTTGAATTAAACTGGAGGTTATTTAATAAATTTCTAAAAGAATGTTTAAAATGTAGATAAGAAAATCACTGAATTTTTTCATATTTTTGGGATACAATTAGAAAAAATATGATAGAAACTATGAATTTATATCTACAATTAGAAAATTATAGATATAAATTTTCACTGTTGTCCATCCATCTGTCCATTTGTCCTTAATCTCAAGAATGGATTAAGATAGATGAAAGACAAGACCAGATATAGAAAGGTTAGGGACAGGAGGCCCTGATTGACTATATACAAACTTCTGATCCAAACTGGAAGTCACATTATTTCAATTCAAAAATTTTTCCCTGAAAGGTGTTAGATAGATCGATGATCTCCAAAGTTTTTTGATTGCATATCCCTAAGACAAAAATAATTATAAGTTTATAATATAATAAAATTTGCTAAATTTCCACTATAAATTCTTGCTAAATTTTCTGCTACCCACACTGCAATTTGAATTTTTTTCCATGTTTGATTGCATGTGATTGTGACCCTACTTATTCAGGAGGATGACTGTAAGATTAGACAGACTGCAGATAAAACACACACAGTATTTTGAAGGGAAATTTTGCATACCCCACTTTGGAGACCACTGAGATAGATGACTGGCACGACTCTATTGTTAAAGGAAAAGTATGATGTATGGGGCAAGCCACCACTAATTTGAGGTGGAGAGCATATATTTTAAGTTAAATAAATTTAAAATATGATTAAAAATTGAAGACTGGCATTGTGATCATGTCACATTAAATACGTAATTGCTTGCTTTTATTATAGTCTCTAATGAGTGATTATTGCCAAAATACTGTTTTCTTGCTTACAACACTCAATTAAAGATCCATGTACTGTTAGTTTTCATTTTATATTTTAAAACAAATGTTTGTTTTCATATTTATATTAATGGGTATAGCTATTAAATTTATCAATAGACTTTTTTGTTTTTGCTTTATATAATTTTGTTTTAAATTATATTTTATATTTTTTCAGGTTAAATATATTGCTAACACTATACATTTACCAATGGTATGTTTGAATTCTTAAATTGTATAAAATTTTATATATTAAAAATATATATCTTAATGTTTTGTATTATAATTTTAATAGGATACTGTAGAGAAGAAATTATCACAAATGATTTTAGATAAAAAATTTAATGGTAAGTAAAAATTTCATAACAAAATTTTATTTGCAGTTAATTTTACTTAATGCTATTTATAAGATTTTAAGTATAATTCTTTATTTTATAATATTTGAGAAGTTTATATATATACTAACATGCCAGAAAAATAACACCATCTGTCATAAGTACTATCACTTGACACCAGTGCAAATTTTGAGATAACCCATTTATGTTAATTTGCTAACACAGGCTATATAAACAAAAGTAAATTGACAATTTTCTTGATCAACATGGATAAAAAAATTACTTAGTAACGCTGATTATGGATGTATAGTAAGGTAATCCATCTGTCTTAACCCTATATTTAGAATGACTGCTGTATTTGTGTTTTCCTGTGCAACTATGTTTAGGGTTTATAACTAGACAGCACATCTGAAAAAAACTGTTGTATGTGGTACATGTGAACAAAATCTAGGCTGATATTTAAGACCATTGTTAGCTGTTGTAGATTGTAATTGGTGATTATTAAGCAACATTATTCCAGATTAACCTATTCGATGTTGAAATTTTTATTTGTTGCCTGTGATGCCATGTTGAATTTTCATCAATGTTAAGCATAAATTTTTTTTTAAATAATAATTGTGTTTACTGTATCATAAAAAATTATTTTTTTATGTTTCACAAGCAAAATATATATATTGAATAATATAAAAACGAAAAAAATTTTATTTTAAAAGTTTCTTTTAATACAGTAGAACCTCGAAAACTCGGCTCTCGATAACCCGGCACTCCGGATAACTCGGCCACATCCTGGCAGGGCATCTACATATTGATTTAATTAATTTTCATTATAGACAGCTTTATAAAAGTATAAAAGCTCTCATAAAGTATTTTTCTGAGGTCTGTCTTATCAGGTAAATTACTG